AAAACACGATGGATTTGAAAGTTCTGCAGAAAAACCGAAGATTGACTCGCTGCTCTGGGTCTTCATGGTCTCTGCCCTCCTTGGTAAGTGCAGGTGAAATAACCTGACTCATGCCTCCCCTTGGGAAAAGTTGTGAAATCAATCGCTGCAGGTGCTCAAAGAAGACTCGACAATGCTGAGCTGAAACCCACCTCTGAGAGGAGCTCATGCAAAAAGGGAGAAGGAGACATTTGTGGACAAACCCGAGGTCAAGAGGGCTGTGAGCACATCTTGAGGGCTCCTTAAATATGTCGTGACTTCACCTTCGCCACCCAACTGGTACCATTACCCCTACACTAGCACCCAAAGAAAACTGCCAAAGAGGGGTTTCATGGTGCTCCACAGCAGCCGTGTGCCTGGAACACAGTGAGCACGCTGCTGTCTCAGGGTCCTGTCGGGCACCACGCCAACCACTGCATTGCATTTTCTCACTGCATCTTCAACCTTAAGTTAGGTTCCCTAGCTCTCCATTTTTCAAAGCTCAAGGTCATTACAGGCTTTCTGTGATAGAGCTAGGATCTGAACGCAGGTCTGCCTAGCTCCAGATCCTGAATCTGCTTGTCCACTTCACTTGAGGTCCTCTGTCACAGCCCGTCACCCTCAGTCACCTTTTGCTTGTGACTCCTCCACTGGCTGTAAGTTCCCAAAGGGCAGGGACAGGGTCCATCATGTCCATGTGCCCAGCACTCGAGACAAGGTTCAGCCCACAGAAGGAATCCAGCAAGGCTGGTGAACAAACGTCTACACGAAGGAAGTGAAGCCACCTATCTTCAGAGAAGGCAGGCCCAGAAATTCCCCTCTAGAAGCCAATCCAACCAGCTCCTATCTCCCCTGGACAAAATCTATAGGCATGCACTCAGCCCCCGTGACCTTCTCCTCCACAAGCCCACTCCGAGGCAAGGGTGAGCAGCCATTCTGTTCAAGAAGGAAGCAGTGGGCTCCAGTAAGCCTGGGTAGTTCGTTTTTAGACTCATCCTTTTTTCTCCTTGACCTAAAGCATCTGGAGCAGATATATCTTTGTCTCTCATCCCTGAGACTTTGTAGGACAAGTGGCACCAGCCAAACTCAAAGCCTATAGCTAGTGTGGATGGTGCAGCACAGGCCTACCTTGGAGTCAGCCTCACGTGAAGGAATAGAGTCCAGAGACCGGGTGTCACCAGAGATCTGACAACTTGATAACTTGGAGTTTGCCAGCGTGCAATAGCATGATTTGTCTGAGCAGAGGTCCACCCCACAGTTCACCAAAAGCCTATCCCATGCATGGCCTAGAAGCTCGGCAGGGGAGAAAGCAGGAGACTTGCCCTGGGAGGGGGCCAACAGGTACACACAGGCAGGTACACACAGGCAGTCTGCACGCAGTAACATGATAGTGCTCTGAAAGTAACGCAGCCGATGAGAATCAAGCACAAGCGGGGAGAACTGAGTAGGTGTCACCAAACAGGGATGTGAGCTAAGGAATCATTCTCAAATCATCCAGGGAGACTTGTTCCCAGCCTCTGTGACCCCCCACACAGTGTGTCCCCTCTGCCACTGGGCCACTGTAACCATGGGCAGTGTGCCTATCTCCGCACACGGTATGTGAGCATCCCAAAGGCAAGGATTTCAGGCATCCTCCGCAGCTCACCCTTAACTACCCAATAAATATCTGCTGACAAAGGAGACTCTGCTAGATTATTAAGAACATAGCAGCCCACCCTTCCCGAGCGTCTACTGTGACCTGCTATGGCTACATATACTTCACCTGCATAATCTCATTTTTTCTGCACAAAACACCCCCAAAGACAGATCCTGTTATCTTTGTCCATAGTACAGAATGCGAAACTGAGATGCAGAGAGATTAGGCAGATTGTCCCAAGTCGTAGAGCCAGTAAGTGACAGAGCTGGACTTTGCATCATGGCCTGAATGGAAAATCAGTTCTCAATTACCAGTGAACAAATCCCTTTTCCTTTCTCTTTCGGTGCTCTGACTCACATCCAGATGCACGAATTGTCCTTTAATCTATTGTTCACTGGGACTGAAGCCATTTCTTGCTGAGGGGAGAACAAGAGATGTCGCTTGTGGGTCTTCTCAACAATGACTCCTAACCACTACTGAGTAAACAGCACTGGGGGCGGGGGGGGGGTGGGGTGCAAAATTGTGTTTACAGAAACATGCACCGTGGAGGAACACTATGTACTCACTGGAACGTTTTCTAATGTTAGAACCACTTCCAAAATAGAACACGTGAATAAATGAAGGAGTTAAGAGTATGTATAGCATGCTACTCTTTGTGTGAGAGAAAAAATATGTAATAAATAAAAAACTAGTAATCATAGTTGCCCCTAGGGAGGACTGGGAACCGGCAGCTTGAGCAGGAAAAACGCTTACTTTACAATGTATCCCACTACTTGCCTTTAGAAAACCCACATGTGATTCTTTTTACTTCTTAAAACCATTATTTAAAGAAACCATTTATTGTCAGACCTTTCCCAAATGCTTCCATATGCTTGTAACCGTAAGAAATCATGTATGTTTACAGACGAAACCTGGGTAAACGTAACGGGCGGTGAAATAAGGCTGCGAAAGAACTTCGGTCCTTCGTGCTGAGATGCAGTAACTCCATTTGTGTTGTTACGGTATTTGTCGTGCGATACATAAACTGCCGGGGAACCCTTACACCATGCATGTAAGCGGCAGGTCAACCTGCCACACTTTCTTCCTAAGGTCCTACCCAGTGCCTTCCACACATGTTCAATGAACACCTACTATGTGCCAGACAAGGTGCCAGACAGATGTTTTTAAAAGAACCAAATGAACAAAAGCCTGAACGTTGGTTTCCTCCCTCTTGTCTTTTGGGAGAATATGATGGCATGCTGATCGGGAGGCCAGAACTGGAGGGGTTCTTGATGACCACACAGTCCAACATCCTCCTCACACAGTTGAGAAAACTGAGGTCTAGAGAGCGGACGGGATTCACCCAAGATCCCATGAGAAGTGAAGGCCCTGGAATTCCCAATTCTGCCCTCCTCCCATGCCACCTGCTGTCCTGAGAAGCTCGGGTTGAAAGATGGGCAGGCAGAGGGGCAGAAAAGGACCCAACCCTGGATACAAGTAGATCAGGTGCTGTTAAGTATCTTGTCCCATTTACTCTTCATAACAACCTCACGAGGTGGACACGGTTATCCTTGTTTTACAAAGAGGAAGCCAAAGTTCCCAGAAGCTGAGAAACAGTGCTGGTTCCCACAGCAGGAGGAGGTGGTGTGAGGCTTCCAATGCAGACCTGACTGCCAGGTAGAGCTCTCGCACTCCACACTAGGAGGTCAATTGATCCTTGAAGGCACACAGGCTCGATCAGAGGGCTTTGGATGTGATCATGATCTCCACTAGCAAAGTTTTTCTCTCAATCCTGAATGTTGTCACTCCAGTCAAAAAGTCAGTTCCCTCGTTCTCCAACACGTTTTAGTACATTTCTGCTACCAAATGTGAGCTTTCCTTTGAATGTACACAGCATGGCACTGACCCAGAGGGCAACTGTCTCTGAGAGCCATTGACAGAGTTACTGCCAGGACATGCTGGGACAACCTATACATGCTGCTTATAGCCCCTGGTACCTGCCACACACAGGCCGCAGCCAGGGCCTATCCCTGAACTGCCATCCCTATGCTTCCGCAGGGTCAGCACCATATGAACCAATGGTTGCAAGGGAGGTCACGACCATGGTGGTTGGTCCCCAAAAGCCTCATAGCTTCTATAGTGAAGACAAATGAAGACTGATCAAGAAGCCTCTACCCACCTTCTCATCTGTCCAGGAACCCGAGCAGGAGGCATTTCATCTTGGAAGGGTCAGTTGCTAGTGAGCAGAAGCACTGGGCATTGAAAGGTCACACACACAGATACAGGACACTGTACGGGGGCCCTGTCATCATGCTTGCTTTCCTTCGCCCCTGTAAGAACCTAACAAATTTCTGGCATTCCCTTCTTTTGATGTCTTCTGGAATGTGGTAAGATTGTGGTCCAGTACTTGAATGAGGGAAGGGGAATTCCACCAAGCTCCAACCTAAGCCTCAAGCTTCAGCACAGAGTCCTCACTGCAGCTGGGGTTTAAAGGTCACAAAATCAGTGCTTCTCTGCTTTCCATCTGCCATTGCTCCCTGCCTGCAGCAGCTCCCTCGGGGGCCTGGCCGGGAGAAGTAGTCTGGATGCAAGACATAACTGAGTCTTCTGGGACTCCCTGCCAGAAAGTTCAGACCAAACTACAACAAAAAAGTGGCCTATTCTCATGACTTGACTAGTAATCCTCTTTAGACTCCCCAGACCTGAACTCCAACCTAGCATCAGCACAAGAACAGAGACATCAATTTACCTGATTGGCTCTGTAACCACTCTTTCGTCCTATCCTCACATGGCCCCTGGGAGGCACAAGTAGGCAGCTACCATGATCTTCATTTTGCAAAGGAGGACAAAAGCTCAGAGAGCCCAGAAACTCCCAGGTAACACAGAATCAAAAGCTTCTGATTTCTCCTGCCTGCTCTTTCCCCTCACCGGGCTGCCATTTCAGTCCTTTTGTGACTAGCACTGCTAAGCTTTGCAAAAGCATCTGGTACCAGGAGCCAGACAGCCAGGACCCCTCCAAGCTTTACACTGACTAGTCTTCGAGCACACACATTTTTCAACAGCTGATCCTCAAGTGAAAGCCAGCCAACCCCCAGTCTAGGCATGCCCCTTCAACAGCAGCAGAGAAAGTCCCTGAGGAGTGAACATCAGCGCGCCCCACTTAGGGTGCAGCGTGGCACAGGAGAAGCAGCCGGCCTAGTAACCAGGGCAGCTGAGCGCCAAGCGGAGCACAGGCAGGCCTGAATCGCCCTCCCAGCATTAAACCTGGATGCCTCCAGAATCTGCAGACACCCCAAAGCTCCTGGTGCCACCGCGCTCCCAGGGCAGCAGAGAGGGAGGGGTCTTCCCTTCTCTGGCGATCACTCACCCTCTGCTTGCTCCTCACCGGTGGCCCCGCTTCCGGACCTGCAACCACTCGGGGCTCCGCCCCCCCGTTCCTGCAGGTCTCCCGAGCCCCGCCCCTTGCACCTGTGGTTGTCTCAGGCCC